CACTCAAGGTCCTTCAGATCTGCACTGTTTCGTCACTGGGAACTCTCCAGTGAGTGAGCAGGGCCGACGGCCCAGTCGCCGGTGCCCAGTAACGTACTGGTGCGCGTGCCGCAGGACAGCCTACCAGGGGCGCAGCTGCTCTCCTGCGGGAGCTCCTGGGGTGGTTTTCCGGAGGGCCGGGGCTCAGTCGAGCAGACGGGAGGGGGGGCCTCCCAGATTCCTCCCGGGAACCGACAGGCTTTCCCGCCACTTTCCCCTTGCGCCCCCGCTTAGCGTCGCCACCGCGGTCTCTCCTCCGCGACCTGCCAGAGCCTCGCTCCGGGACGGGCTCAGGCCGGAGCTCTCTCTTCTGCGGCGCGAGCGCGGGTTTCGCCTGCCGGTCGACGTCCGGCCCCTCGGTCCGGGCTGTGGTTTGAGCCTTGTGGGCCTCTGCCGCACTTCCGGGCATTTTCCAGCTCACCGATTCCTCGAAGGAGACCTTCTTCCGAGGCAGGGAAGGCAGGGCGGCTCGGTTCTGCGAGAAGTGCGGAGTCAGAGAGCGCGTGGGAACCTCGACAACCGCGGACACGCTCCCAGCTTAACGCCGTAACGTGAAAGACGGATAATCGGGATACGTGCCCAGCAAAATTTCACTTGATCCCGTAATAAAAGAGAGAACTGTTGGGGGAAAAAAAGCACCATAAAAAGATTCAGAAACTAGATGGAACACGCAGATCCTCACGTAAGTGGCACTGGCAAAGAGGGTGTGTGTACACCCTCTGCTAAATAATCAGAGACTCTACTGCATTCCTCACCACTCAGGCTCCAGGTTAGGAACTGGCTGACTAGGAACAGGGTCGCTGCAGTCTGGATCTTATCCCAGAAGCACAGGGCAGGACAACACCTGGACGGGCAGCAAGTCCATCGTACTTAACACTCACACACAAACGGGGACAATTTACCATGTCTACGTGAGGTGGAAGGAAACCGGACCACCCGGTGAAAACCCAGGCAAGGGTGGGGGGAACACGCAGACACCACACTGACGTTGAGAACCGAACCCAGGAGCCATGTGGCAGCAGTGCTAATTGCCATGCCACTGTGCTGCCCGATATCAGACACCCCCCCATTAAGCATACTTATAGCTGCAGCTCAGTGGGGCAGACGTCAAAACCTGGGCCTACTTGAGACTGAAGAGCTCCGTCTCGATGCCGGCGCAATTTCGAAACCCTTTTCCCTAAAAAAAACAACAACAACAACAACAACAAAAAACAAATTGACCACAGCTAAATGTATATAAAGACCCCAGGGGTACATCCGTTTAAAATACATTTGCAATGGTTTTATTTAGCTTTTATGATCTGAAACACAAAATGCTCAAATGTCTCAGAAATACAGACGATGCTTCAATTAAGCTTTTTATTACCGTATTTCACAAAGCTATCAAAAATCAGACCATGCTACCATTTCGATTTCCATTAGGAGAACAGAAGATGTGTGGAACAAATTCACCCAACAGATCAACCGCAAGGATATATTAATACAGCGATCAGCTACGCGTGTATTTATACCTGACACTGTAGCAGCAGCTGTGGGAAGAACTGAACTTCTGGATGTTTTCCGACAGTTGATTTTCAGAAGGTGGGTTTTGGGGATCAGAAAAACACAAGTGGAGAAGTTAGTAAGCAAGGGATTTGTTACACGACCGCTTCGCCGCAGCTGAAATAAAAGCCACTTGGATTTCAAAGCTTCATCAAAAAACAAAAAAATTATTTGTGTTTTCCCAGACAAACAAGACGGGTGCCAGGCGAGGACTTTTCCTGTTGTCTGGCAAAATGAGCCACTCGGGACCTAAAGTCCTACAGAAACCCATCCAGCAGACAGACACAGTGACGTCATTACCCACTGGTCCATTCAGGTCTCCCTCAAATGACACGTATACAAGGACTACAAAATGTAAAAACCAACCAGCCTTGGCTTCAAATGACTGGAGCAACCACCCCTGTCTGAAAGGGAATGCGAGCATGTGGACTATGGAAAGAGCCACTGAATGTGATCACAGTTTGCACCACAGATGCCAACTCAGACAAAAAAAAATGTGCTTTTGGAAAACATCTGACAGGAACAAAGGAAAGCGCAAAATTATTTTACTATCCTACTAAAAAGATGATAGCAGAACACACATTTTCATTTGGGCAGGCTCCTTCAATTGAATAACAACACTCCAGTATCTCAACTGCTGGAAACCTCCAGCTGTACGGGGTATTTTTAAGAGTAAAACGATCTAATGATTTTAATGACATGGTTTTCCACCTCTCCCCTCCCCCACCAACAAAACAATTACCTGTTGTCAGAGTGGCCAGTCTCTCTCCCCGCTGACAGCTCTTGAAGAATAAAATGTAAGCAAATCAAGGTTTGTCAAGTTACAGAACACAGGAATGGCTAAAAAGAGCAACAGAAAAAAGGTCATCATCGCTTGAAGAAGCAGCTACCGCCAGCGTTCATGGCTCAATAGTCAAGGAAATAGTCTTCCGGGTCGGACTGTGCACAGTAAGTTTTAAACCGCATTTAACTGCGAGATGCACCACTGATGCAGCACAAACACAATCTATGTGTTTTCTCCACCCATTCTCTACCCCCTTCATCCACTTTAGGGTCGCGGGGGAGCTGGGGCCTATCCCAATATGCATTGGGCACAAGTCGCAGGGGAGCTGGGGCCTATCCCAGCATGCATTGGGCACAAGTCGCAGGGGAGCTGGGGCCTATCCCAGCATGCATTGGGCACAAGGCGGGATACACCCTAGATGGGATGCCAGTCCACTGGAGGGCGCACACAGACACCACGGCCAGTTTTTACTTAAAAGCCAATTAATCTACCAGGCTGTCTTTGGACTGTGGAAGGAAACTGGAGCACCCAGAAGAAACCCATGAGAACATGGGGTGGAACATGCAAACTCCACACAGACAGCACCCCAGGTCCAGAACTGAACCCACCAGACGCCGGAGCGATGTAGACGAAACTTGATCTGCTGTACAGGGGATTACGGGTGTAGTCCGAGTTCACGTGAAGCAGAAAACCTGAATTCGTGCCTAACGATGGTTAAAAATACATCTGCCGTAAAAGTGAATCAATTCTGTCACCTTAGTTCTTGTTGTTTTTGTTTTTGTTTTTTTTTAAGAAAAACAGAGTTGAGGAAACGCTCACCTAAAATCTCCGAGGCGTTGGGGGGCTGCCTCATGTTGATGGCGACAGCCCGGCTGGTGTCCAGGAGGGTGGAGTTCCTGCACCCCCCCCAGGGATCGTCATCGCCCGCGGTGAGCTCGGCCGTGCCTCCTGTTGACGTCAACACGAGGGCAGCGCG